AACCAATACTTTCTCAAGATACTCGGTATTTAAAATACAGTTATCTGTAAATTTTAACATTAAGTTACCATAATTTAATATTACTAAACTATATTATAATTATTTGATTTCTAAAATTATTGATATTTTTATATTCATTATGACAACATTCACACTCAAAATATTAAATATTTTCTATATTATACTCAAGAACCTTTTTACATTCATTTTCTGTACTAACCACTTAACTGTTTTGCCCAAACACCATTTAGCTGCTGCGGAAAGGAACTTTTTTTATTTGCCCGTACACCACTCGGGCAGTGCATTTTCCTACACCAAACTACTGATTTTCCTGGCTTTTCCACATTTTTTACTTTGCAGTGTTTCTAACAGATGTTTCTAGTAGTACAGGAGATACTGGATTGTAAAATCAGTTCAAAGATAGGTTTTACCGCTTTTCATTAGGTTAAGAAAGTGGTCGGCAAACTTATTAGCCAAAGAGCCAAATAGAACATGAAAACATTAAAAAAAAAAAAAAAAAATTGGAGCAAGGTTCTGTTTAGTAAACTTTATTACACTAAAAAACAATTACTACTTACTAAATATTATTATCGAACAATGTGCGGCATATCCTGAAAGTTTGATAGTCAGGTGTGTTTGTTGTTTTTTAATTTAGGCATGATTCCAAGTTCTCATCAATAAGACGACATTATCAGTTATCTGATAATGTTCATGCTTGAAAAGATGTGCATTATATTAGAACAAAAGGGAAAAACAGCAAACACGAGCTTTCTGCTGATCGTAAAGTCATAATACTTCCAAGGTGAAAATGATCATGTCTTCCTTCCAGGTCATTCAAAGCAGACCACTTATGTTGTGAACTAAGATCACATTTTTTCTTCTCCAATATTTCCAATTCAAAGACGTTCGAATTTCGAGTGCCATATCTCCTTGTTTTTTAAATCCAGCAATTGTATTTCAAAGCTAACAATTTCAAAAGGAGTCAATTTCAAAAGGAGAAAATTTCAACTCAGTTATCATAGGATTAAGAGGATTTTTGAAAAATGCTAAAGTTGCTCTGCTGTTTTTAAATTCCTGATACCTGCTGAGAAATGCTTCCCTCATATTTACAATTATTGTTTTAAAATGGTGTTTATCAATAGAGGAATTATTTTCTTGGCAATGCTTCAGCGGGCTCGGAAAGTGAAACAATGTTTCCTTTTAAAATTCCTGTGCAAAAATGAATAATTTGTTTTCGAATGTTATTACTTCTTCTAACATCAAAAAAATTAAGTTTCCTTTCCCTTGTAGTTTATGATTAAGCTGATTTAGATGAGACGAAAAAATAAAATAAAAGTTTTGAATCCCTGATCAGGCTGTGTTCGGATAGTGACGTTTCTCAAGAGAAATGCGTTAATTTCGGAAAAGGGACGCAAAAGTTTTAAATGCTCCCTCTTGCTACCAATGGACCTTGTTATGAAGCAGAAGATCAGCGTCTCACTCTCATTCATATAAAAATTCTTTGATTGGCGATGATAAGAGCTTTAGCTAAAAACGAGTGATTAAATGTAATCACTAATTCCCTACTTTATAATTTCTTCCAGAAATGTTGCGCACAACGCGCTTTTTGTGAATGATACAATGGTAACACTATATGTGATTTTTTTTCTTCAAAATAGCAACAAAGTGTTTCTTGTAAGTGTCTCTAATTTGATTCTTGTATGTACGGCGAATTTCTCCACAAATAAGACGAGTCTTTAAATTTTGAATAACGCAAATTTTTGGTCCACATCAACTTGAATTGGGTTTTATCTTCCGTTTTTTTCTTTTTTTTTTTTTTTTTTTTTTTTTTTTTTTTTTTTTTTTTTGGTAGCCATTGTTAATTGGGGAGCCTATAAAATTTCCAAATATATTTTTTTCTAAGCCACCAGTACATAACTATTAATTATTAAATTGATGAAAATAAAATTTTAAAAATACATTTTATTAATATATGTAACTGCACTAAAAAGAAAAAATTTTTTCCATCATAGAATAACAAATTCTAATAGACAAAATGGAAGAAAACTTCAACATTTGGGAAACAGAGTAATCGAAAAAATCGATACAATTTTGTACCGGAACCACAAACACACATAGCAGGTGTAATAAAATCGTATAAAAATACCTGTAAGATGTGCAGCTAGATTAAAAAATACAACAACTTTTTAATAAGACAGGACAAAGGCAGACACGGTTGATAAGACAAAACTGTTCACACTGCAACTGCTGCTCTATGATGCCAATTTGTACCTTCATTACTTTATAAAAAGCCTGCACGCGCATGCCTGTAGCTTGTGCATGTTTTATGTTTACGAAAACTAATAAAATTAAACTCGATGTTCTGCCAAACTGGATTTTATATTTTTACAACAATATAAAATTTTAATTACCTATCTATCTTTTTACTCAAACAAAAAATTATACGTTCTCAATTTATAGAAGAATTTTAATTTATCGAAATGAGATGTAATTTTTTTCTTACCAAGTTTTTTTTTTAAATGAAAATATTGTGCCTTCCATGGATAGCCGCACTTACGGAGCCAAAGAGCCGCAATTTGCCGACCACTGTGTTAAGAAATTCAACGAGTTTGTTTGCAAATGTTCAGTGTGTAATAAGTCTTGCAAATAGTATTTCTTCCCAATTATGTCATGAAATAAAAGAACAATGGGTGACAGTAAATAGCTCACAACAAAATGTAATTCTGATTTTGGATCAGATAGCAAATCTGAATTTTCTATAAATGATTCGGGTAGTTCTTTATCAGAATTCTCTAGTGATGATGAGAAAACGGAAAGTTCAGATGATCTAATTCAGGTTCGGAAGTTTTGTGAAATGGATAATAGTAATCCTCCTCCACCACTGCTGCAATTTTCTTTCACAGCGAATTCACTTCTTTCACATCTCTTGTAAAGTATTTTTTCCAGTTTGGCAGTTCTGTCAGAAAAAGTTAAGTAAAAATGCCTTAATTTTGCCGTAATTAAAAATTACCTAAAATTAATAAATCCAATACTTGTAAGAGTTTTGAGTGCTGATTCGAATTCATATAATCAATTAGAATACAAAATTTTTTATAAAAAGTATACTTAGTTTTGGTCACAATATGGCCGGAAAATGAAACAGTTAAGTGACTAGTATTCAAAATTACTTCACTTGTTTTTTATATTCATTTCCTTCTCAAAATAATTAAACACTTAACATTAATTCAAACATTAAAAAAAATTCAAAAATAGAATGACCTTACATTAATTATCTTCCTTGAAAGAAATAGTAAAATTCTTTTAATTAATTCAAAAATAATTATATAAATTCGTATTTCTAATACCATAAAATGTTTAATCTTTTATTTTAAAACAATGCTTTTAATACAAGAAAAAACAGTATTACATGTTTAAATTTCAAAATAAAATTAATTACTTGATAAATAAATATGAAAAAAAATTAAACATACCCTATTAGCAAAAATATAAAATAAAACGCAGCACCAAAATTAATAAATTTTGAAACTATTAAATGAAAATATCAGAATACTTGTGTTTTCATTCTTTGAACATGTTTACTGTTTTCTCAAAATAATAAAATCAAATTGCACACAAAATTTAAAACTCACTGCACCAGCAATTTAATACATTTTTGATTGAAGAAAATAATTATGGATAAAACATCTAGAAGGCCATATATTTAAAATGCAGGAATCAGAAATGGATGAAAAGCATTTCCCGCAGTTCAACACGTACCGAGTAAATGGCACTTGATGACTGTTAATTTTCAATACCAAAACAAAAGTGTACAAAAGTATCTCACATATGGTAGTTGTAAACATTTTTTATTAATAAAGAGTGGTGACTGGAATGCTGAATCATTTTATAGTTGATTTGAAAATACAAAAATTAGTTGATTGCAAAGCACTAATTAAATCACAGATGAACTTAACTTTCAGGCAGGGATTTCAGAGACAGATGATATCTTTGTTAACTACTGTAATGAAGCAAACTTAGCTGTAATGTTGAAGGATAAATTGATGGTGTAGAAGGCTGAAATGGTGATCCATAATGAAGAGCAACTTGGCAGTCAAGGCCCTTGGCCACTGGTGCAGAACAAACACACTAGTTAGCTCAAGTGGATATGCCTTATTGAATGGAAAAGTTTATTTAGAAGTAATGTGAGGTCTTCCAGTTTGGTAAAATAAGGATTTGCAAATGAAAGATAATAACAGTGAAACTATAATTTCTGCAATATTGCTGCTATATTTGTGATGTTAAGATATTATTTGTTAATATGGAATTCAATGTCAAATTTTATATGTGTTATAGTTAATTAGAATAAGAAATCATTATGTAAAAGTTTTAGTGACACTCTGTAATTACGATTATGTAGACTCTAAAAAAAGAAAGACGTCTGGGCGTAAGTACTCAAAATTTAACAAGATTCTAAAAATTACATTTCTTTTTAAGAAGTCCTATATTCAAAAATTATACTTTACAATTATTTCATTAATTATGTTGGTCAAAATTTTGTGATTTACACTGCTCTTTATTTGCTACTCCTTTAACGTGTTTTGTTTAAAAAGGCTTGCTGTCGCTAAGCCTTTTTTTCTTTAAAGGGAGAGAGAATATGTTTGCTACATTATATATATATATTAAATTAATTTGTGTATAGACTATTGGTGAATTAAAAAAAATAATATCCAAAATGAACAGAGTTAAAAATTAATGCAAATAATAAGCAAAAGTGATACATATATTTTTCAGCTACATTTTGCATACATATAATTCAATAAGTCTATTGGAGAGGAATGAAAACTAGAAATGAGGTAGGAAATAAGTGGTTAGTTATTACAGCTTTATTTCAAAAGGCATAAACACCAACACTACACTACATAGCAAACTTAAAATAAAATTTCATTATAATTAAAATCATGTAATAACAGAAATTTTATTATGATACAAATTTGGAGAAAGTGAAAAAAATTATATCTTACACTAGCATTAGGAATGTTTTGAGGTTGAAATGCATTTGTTAAATCAGAAATTGCTGTAGGCCAGAAATCTGTAATTGTTTGGATGATGAATGAAGACATCTAGATATACAAAAAAGATGTTAACACTAGAACAATTAATTTATATTCTTAAATTTCTATTTAATATAGCAATATGCACTGAAGAGCCATTACATCATGACCACCCTCCATCTATAACAATGGATTCACCCAGGAACAAAACCACTGTGTGTGTGTGGCTGATGTTGGAGTATATAAAGCGGCTATGCATTGTCTTTCCAAACATAGCACGATTGGCGACATAATGGGAATTGCAGCTGATTTATCAGACTTTAATAATGGTCAAATCATTATGGCTTGGCAACTGAGAATATCAATATTAGAAACAGCACATTTAGCGGGCTGTTTATGTGCAGTTGTTGTGAGCACATATCGAAAGTGGTGTATAAACGGTGAAACAAGTCGCCGGCCAGCAGTGCGTTGTCAATGAGCATTTGATTCCAGAGGAAAGCGGAGATTGCTAAACATTGTTCGCCGTGACTAAAAAGCTACAACAGTGACGACCCAGACAGTGTTTCTCAATATACTGTGCAGCATACATTACTGCATATGGGCCTACGCAACCGGAGGAGGAAGTATGACACTGTACTGACAGCACATCATCACCAGCTGCGTCTGTAGTGGGCCAAGAAGCATTGGAACTCGACATTCGAAGAATAGAAGAAAGTTGCATAGTCAGAAGAATCCCATTTTCTGGTCTATCATATCGACGGGCATGTGCTAATATGCCGATTTCCAAATGAAACCCTGGCTCCCGAATGCACAGTTGGACGGAGACATCCAGGTGGCAGGGGTATTGTGGTGTGAGAAATATTTTCAATGAGCATATTCCGTAATCCCCAAAGAAGAAGAATCCCTGATGTCTGTGCACTATGTGAACATAGCTGCAGATCAGGTTCACCCATTCATGACACCAGTATTTCCGGAAGGGGATGGTGTTTACCAAACAGGATAATGCACCATGTCAAAAGGGTTGAATTGTCAGGGAGTGGTTCGAGAAACGTTTCAACAACTTTCAAGTCATGTCTTGCTCTCTAAATTCACCTGACATTAATACACTACAGCATTTATTACACTACATTAGTCTCAACTGGAAAACCAAATTAGTTCTGCCACGCTGCCCCTCGCAATGTGCAAGAAATGCAGAACCAGTTAGTGCTGGGTGCTGGCAGTTTTGAGGGTTAAAGGTGGTCCTACATGTTATTAACAGGGTGGTCATAATGTTAAGGCCTTTCAGTGTACATTTTTACATTCATTCATTGTTTTATACATGTGATTTCATTATTAATCAATATCAAATGGTCTCAAGAATATAAGATTCACATATAGTGGGTGATTGAAATAAGACTATATAATTTCCAAATTTCATTTAACTGCAAGAAAAATGCTTTACAGCTTTACCATTTTATATTTATGATAAATGTACAAAGTGTTAGTCATAATGTTATGGCCTTTCAGTGTATACTTTTACATTCCTTCATTGTTTTATACATGTGATTTCATTATTAACCTTTTAACTGTCATGCCCGAGATAATCTCGGGTACAGCACTGGTGTTCGAAAATGTCACACCTGAGTATTACTCGGGGTAATTTTTTTTTGAGTGCATCGTATTGTTATACCCGAATATATATCGGGAGACGTTTATTTCGGCTTCATCTTTTTGTCAAACCCGACTGCATCTCGGGAAAAATTTGACAATTTGTGTACCCAAATCATCAAAATAACTTTACAGTTAAAGGGTTAATCAATATCAAATGGTCTCAAGAATATAAGATTCACATATAGTGGGTGATTAAAATAAGACTATACAATTTCCAAATTTCATTTAACTGCAAGAAAAATGCTTTACGACTTTACCATTTTATATTTATGATAAATGTACAAAGTGTTTTCCTTTAGCTTCATCCAAACATTATCTAATCTTTCTTTCCATAATATATCATATATTTTGAAGCATATTTCCATTCTTTTAATTGTTCTACAATCTATTTATATATATCCTTTCTTTAAGGTATCCAAAGAAAAAGTCAGATAAAGTATGGCTGGTGATCCCAAAATTTGTAGGAACTACTCTGATATGCACCCTTAAAGCGACAAATTTCTCGCCAAAAATTCCATGCTGCCATATTGCTATCTAAATTTTTTGTCTACATTTTGAACTTTAAGCCTAAAATGTCTCCAAAAACACGGTTTTCACGAATGCAAAACCACGTTTTGAACACACAATTTAAGCTAAAAACCGAAACAAAAAAAAAAATTTAGATAGCAAAACCGTGAGTTTAACAAAAATTATTGACAAAAGTCCATATACACAGCGATATGCTTTAACTTAAAAAACATCTACGAATGGCACAATCTAGGCAACGAACGAATTACAACTACGCCACCCGCTTTAAAAATTAACATAACAACAATAAATTTCAAAGAATACAGTACACAGCGTTCTATTTCAACTTAAAAAAAATCTAAGAATTGCACAATCTAGACGCTATACACTAATAAAAATAACTAAAATAAATTTCAAACAATTCCAGAAAACAAGAATAACGACAGAAATGCATGCTAAAAAAACAATGAACATAACATTCTACAAAATAAGAATAAAATACAGTTACCATGAATTAATGCTTTTTCGAACAGCAGAATTACTAATTTCATACCGCCTTTAACATGCCGCCACATAATTGCTATCATATTTATATGACAGCCAGGCACACTATCTAGAAAATTTATACTGTGTTTCACAAATAATCACAAATCCCTACTTCTATCACACACAGCCACTAAAGCTAATTCACAAGAGCAGATT